AATCAGAAATGATGTGAAAATATTCCGAAATTTATTAGAGACTTTTGACTGCCTAGAAATTGGGCAAGTAATTCCCAATCTTCACTTATAAATTCTCCTTTAAGCTTTCCTTTTTATGTAAGAGTTTAATTTGAGCTCGAAATTGGTCTCGTAGAATCACATCTTTCATCTTAAAGTCCTCATATTCAATCTATTTAATCTATTTCATCCTACCCCCCACATTTAGCATCCGTCCTGCCACAATCGAATCCAGCCAATAACTCATTCGATTTGAATGGGCGAACAGCGACAGGAGCTGAACCCTTTTGCCCGTAAACCAGAGAGCTGCATAAAAATGTCAGGCAATCTCATAAACAGGACATAAAACCGAAAGTAAGCAGACAGTGGGAAGGAGGCTGGGGGCATGGCCATACCTCAGTGGGGATTGGGTTGTGGCTGTGGCTGCTGTGGCGTGGCTGTGGCTGCTGCTCCCGCTGGAATATCTTATTTCATAAGCAAATAAGATATAAAGTAAACTCGAAAATGAACCCTGGCACACATCCGTGAAGACAAAGTTTACGCAGATTTTGCCGCAGTGAAAGCCAAAAACGAAAAACCCATCAAAATTCTGGCCACAAAACTCCGCGGACTCCGCTCACGTACGCCGCCCCCCGAGGGAATTTCAGCAGCGAAAAGGGTTGCGACCGCACCTTGGTGGGGGTTTTAGCTGCAAAGGGGGTGTGGGCGGGGTGTTCATGTTGACAAAAGCTTTTGACTTTCGGCTTTGGCGAAAATCGCGACGAAACTTTGACCAGAAATATGCAGCCCCCAGACAGCCAACACGCCCCCAAGGAGCACTCGGCAGCCCTGCCCTGCCCTGCCCTGCCCTGCCCTGCTCTGCCCTTCTGGTACTCATAAATACTCGGCTCATTTGGGGGTTTGTTTTCGGCAGCCCTCGGGCTTTAAGTTGTTTATGTGTAAAAGTTAATAAACTTGTCAAGAGTTCGGGGGGAAGGCACCTATCTATTTGCACCTTGCCGACTGTTCGACTATTAATCGATTTCGCCGCTGACCAGGGGCCGTCAGCTGCTGAAGGATTACATGGCCCCGATCCTGTAGCTGCATCTGCTTATGGGTAGGGGCATGGGCAGGGGCAGGGGCAGGGGCTCTCCACGCTTGCGCAGAGTCTTTCTGGCGCATAAATTTGAAATAAATTTCCAGCTCCGCTCGCTGGCACTTCCATTTCTCATGATCAATGGGGGTGAGAGCGAACGAGCATTAAGTTGAAGTTTTTACCCCTGCAGTATCTCAACTTCCTCCAGGGGGAACCCTTTTGCCTGCCCAGTGAGCGGGCGAAGCAATTCACAAATTTTATTTTCATTTTATTACACGAAACAAAGACAAATTACATAAAATATGTTCGCCTGTGTATCTGTATCTGTATCTTTTCATGTGTGCAACTGCGAGTGCGAGTATCTGGTGGATAGGTCGGCCCACACCTTGAGACGCAACTGTGGCTGTGGCTGTGGCTGTGGCTGCGTTTTTTATGTAAATTGCGCCGCAGCCAGCAGAGACAGACAGCCGAATGCCCATTAAGCAAAAGACTCGAACAGAAAGACAGCCACAACACGGAGGATAAACGAGAGAGAGGGAGAAGGGAGCAGGAGGAACGGGCTGGGTAGCCGAGGCAGCGTCGAGTTCATCGCGCCTGAAATTGCTAAAGGAAGTTGTTACTTTGTAATTAAAATTTGAGATTGATTAACTTATTGTTCGTGTGAGTTTTACAACCCGAAACTATTACCGACACTTTGATGGTTTGATTTTGGCCCGGGCTCAGAGCTGCAGCAGCATTTGGCGTATTGGGAGTAGTCCTACGCCTCCCTGCCGTTCGCCTTTTGGTTCGGTTTCTATTTTACTTTTTTGTTTTATGGCTACAGCAAAGTTGCTTGAACTCTGTTTTAATGAGACCAGAAATCTCACCTAGAGTCTGCCTTCGGCTAGGCGTTGCTTTTAATTGTGCGCAATTAATCCGCAGACGTTTTAATTTGAATTTAGAATTTGATTTGCATTCACGGCAACATCCATTGTGGCACATTGACACAGGCGAACGTAAGGGTTTCTAACAGAAAAGACTTGCCACGAACAGTGGCAGAAGTCTGAGATTGGAAAAACTTTAAGTTGGAGTTTGCATTGCAGAATAAATTGCATTGCTATCAAATATGATTGATAAAAAAGGAGCTAAAAGCCGCTGCTCACTTTCAATATTAAATGAAACATTGTGGAAATATCGCTACCCTCGTCAAGGGACGTAGAATCCCAATCTAGATACCTATTTGACCCGCAAGATTTACCATTTATTCAAGGCCATAAAACCACTTAAGCTAAAAGCCTCAAGCCCCTGCCAGTGGCCAGGAAAGTGTGCATAAATCGCACAATTTATAATTCATACAGAATCATTTTTATACTCAAAGAAAAATGCTGCCAAAAAGCTGAAATGCACTTCAATATGGAATCAAATGGGATGGACATTGAAGGTGCTGTGAGGCGTCACGTACATCGCATATTATGGCAAATAAATGTGCTCTGGGCAGAGGGGTGCGGGATTATTGCTAAAAGTTTAAAAATTGATTTTCATCTCTGCGGATATTTCCCCTTCATCTGGCCATTTCGATTGGAATTGGAATTGATTTTTCTACGTAAACATAAATAAAATATGAACTCGCTTCCACCCAATGATGGGGTGAAGGAAGAAGGGCTTTGGGCTGCTGTGCAAATATTTTCCCAGCAACGTCTCCTTTGAGCTGCAGCAAGGTGTCCAGTCTGGTCTGGTCTGTGCTTGCCCCCGAGGAACATTGCTCATCAGCAGTCCAGTCCAGAGCTGGTCAAATAAAGCCGTTGGTAAGTATTTCATAAGTCACAAAGAAAGAGCAACACCAGAGGATGGGCACACACCAGCTAAGTAAGCAATAAGCCCCAAGCTGATGGACAGCGCAACTTTCCCCACTGAAGGAGTGAATTCATTGGCACACGTCCGCCTTCTAATACAAACAAGGACATGAGCTCGATTCGTGACTGAAAAGTTTCCTTTTGCTCCTGCTCCTCTTCCCTGGTATAGATTGCGGCCGCCTCCTCGTACTTTTCGTATTTTATTTCCATCATTTTTATTTTGTACGTACATTTTTGTTGTTCTTTTATTTTTGCTCGCTCGGTCGAGCAAAATGTCCGAAACTTTGGCGCTCGCTTCGGCGAATGTTTCAGATAAAAATTTGTTATTTATGGCTTGAGGTTTTAAACTCGAGAGTTTTACTCAATTTGTTGCCGCTGAAAGAGTCTTAAAATGTTGTCTGAAAACTGCGCAAGTCGTGGATGAATTTGAGAGAAGGTTTTGTCAATTCCCAAGGAAGGTAAAGTTATGGAAAATCCAGGAATTAGTTCCTCTCCACTTTGTGGCTTCTCATTGGGCATCCCAAAAAGACGAATTTCATTTCGTTCTTTTTGCTTCATTTGATCCGCTTCGCTGGGGGGTAGGAGGTGTAATGTGTAATGCTCGAAACCGACTATAAAATGCTTTCTTATAATTGCTTTTCGATTGCACTTGCACTATTGAAAAATGCTTCAGCTCTTTTTCAAGTTTTATTATAATTGAAATTCCCGCGCGGCGATTAATGCCAACGAAAATAATTCAAATAAATTAAAATGCAATTAAATAAATCGAACGGCTCGCCGCGACTCGATTCGAGACGAGGCGAGACGAGACGAGACGAGTCCAATCCAATCGAAACGAATCCAATCGGATGGGATCGAATGGGAAAAGTGCACACAAAATTGTAGACGTGCAATATTTTTTATGTGCTGATTAAAAAACATTCCTTGGATATTGGCCAAAATATGCAGCGGACTCTGGGTACGGGTACGGGTACGGGTCGATGCCGAGGCATTTCATTTGCATTTACAATGAATTTTCCTTTTTTTTTTTTGTTGTCTGCTCATTTTGTATCTGTATCTGTAACTCTTTGCGGCGGAATCATCGATTCGGATTGATGGCCCGGCTCGACAGTTGTTCTTGTTTCATTTCATTTCATTCTGCCTTTTTGTATCTTTCTGTTGGATTTTTACTTTATTTTTAATTGTAATGACAGCTCATTGGTTTGGTTTTCTTTGAAAACGACCAGAGGAGGGATGGCGGACAGTCGACTGATGCGGCAATTAAGAGATAAAAATATAATTATTGCAATTGCAGCAAGCAGGCCCAACCGAGTACTATGGGACATCAGTCGTTTCGTCTGTCAGCAGCTCAGAATCTGAATCGAAGAGGCTTTTGCAGCGACTCCGCATCCGTCTCCTTGTGTGTCTCTGAATTCGATTCAACTGGCGGCTGCTGCATTCGACATTCCTCGATGATTAAACAGGCAAATTTCTGGCCGCATAAATCACTTTAGCTTTATCCTTAGACAATTGGCTCAGCAGTCCGACTCGATCTCTCTCTGTCTTTCTTTCTGTATTTTTATTTTCTTGACAATGTAGCACTTTTTTTTTAGGTACACTCTAGGTTAGGGGATTTTGGGCTTTGTCTATTAACACTGCAATCAATTGTAATCCTCTAAGTTGCATCTAAAAATAAGTTAAGCTATCTTTCTGGCTATCCGTAGACTCTAAAGTAATTACCAGCAGGGTATCTGCATCTTCGAGGAACTTCAGTCTTCCCAGTGTATTTTATTTATAGGATATTGCAACCCATCCCGCTCGATTAAATGCCAAACTGCAATTATCGAGCAATTATTTCGATCAGTGAATTCTATTTTTTCCACAGATCTCTCTCGTTGGTGTCTGCCTGGTCTGTTCTTTGGGTTGTCATTGCGCGAGAAATATCTTTATAGCAATTTGTGTAGTTTGCTTTTTGTTTTTCTTTTATTGCAAATTTGTGTGTTATTTCGGGAAGGTTTGATTCGATTCTCATTGAACTGCAATTTCCACAGGGACGGGGACGACACCGACCACTCACTTGATTGAGAATTGTTCAGTTGACAGTATTGGCATGTGATGAACAATACAAAGTATAGCTATCAAAGATTTATTTATATTTCAGTTGTTCTCTGTTGTGTAAGCTTTTGCCTAGAAAGTTTGCTCTACCAAACAAACCGCCATCTTCCTGTAGCTGGCACCTAACTAGATTCTCTGGAATTAATGGCAAATGTAAGTGAGTTTTATTATGCGCTCATTATGTTTTATTGACTCGACTGGAATGCCCCACGAAGCCTGCGGGGAAATTAGCATAGGGGTGACTCTGGGGTGGCGGGTCTGGGGGCCAGTGCGTGAGTGTTTGGAAAAAGGCATTTAGCATTTCATTTGGCCCATAGTTGACTGCTACTAAGTTGCGAGCTACACATATGCGACGTGTGTGCCTCTGTTACATATGTACATATTTTAATTTGGTTTCTTTATTTCATTTTAGTTGGCAATAATCAGCGGCGTCGCGCCATGCATAATAATGAAAACCCATACCATAACACCATACCCATGCTGTCCCCCAGTTGGCCCCACCGGTCCCGCCATAATTCTAATGTCGACCCAGACATGCCGCAGTCACACGTTCAAATTACCCCAATTTCGTGCGGGCAGCAGCGGCAGCGGCATCGGCATCGGCATCGGCAGCAAATATGTAAAAAAGTGTTCATACATGAAATGTGAGGGACTGTGGGCTATGGCATGGGTAGGGGTATGTGAAAGACTCATGGGAATGGGTAAGTGAATGGAAATGTTGGACTGTCGGTTAAGCACTAACTGGGCCGATTAGCTACTCGAATTCGCGCACACGTCCCAGCCATAAAATGCGTCTCTCTAATCTCTCCCATCTGCCATCAAAATTTTGACGAAAATTCGTATCTTGGCCAAAATATCGTGTGAAAATGTCAGCAAATGGGCCACGTAATTAAAACGAAGCCAAAACTCATCAAAAGCTTCGACAATTGCATCCCAAAACCCGAATCGAAGCAAAGTTCCCACAGTTCCTACCTACTTTGACTTTAAGTTTGACTTTCTTTTGTACTGAAAACTGAAAACTGAAAACTGAAACTGAAATTGAAACTCCGGACGATGTGCAATTTCCGCTCTGTGCAGATCCGCTCGGCAAGATCTAATTGCCGTCGCTCGATTCGTCATGCAATATAAAAGGTATTCGAAAGACACTGACGCATATAAATCATCGCGAGAGGAACATAAAAATCGGTTGGCCTTAAAAGGGCCGAAGGTTGAAGGCTTCTGCGGTGGCAGCAGGGCTGCAGAAGTTCTAAAGAAGTTCATGAAAAGCTTTCTTTTTTTGCCTCCGTCCCTGGTGAGTGCAAACCGATTTGATAACTCATAACTAGGCGTAACTGCTGACACCCTCGTAAAACAGACTCTCGGGTCTTGGACTGCAGCTCAGATCGCAGCGAAACTAAAGCTTTAGTGGGTGGTTATTGCAGAGTGGAGGAAGGGGGGAAAGCTGGCAGAGGGTAGCAGAGCTGAAAGGCCAGAGGAGTCCATGTCTAGTGCCATTGTCAGTAGTCTTCATTACCGCTTGCTGCGAGGTGCATCGAATGGGAGAGAGAAAGAGCCAGAGCCAGAGCCAGAGACAGAGCCCCCCATGTCCAGGCGGGCACTTAAACTGCCCAACCGAATGGGTGCTGGGAAGGCAATTAACCGATTTTTAAATATGTTTGAACGCCTTTATGACTTGTGCAGTACAGCTGCCAAGAACCGCGGAGTGTATAGCCCCAGGGCCAATGTTCGGGAACTCTTCACGAGCGTTGTAAATGCGATTTATTTCGATTATGGAAAGTTGCTGATTTGGAACTAATTACCCCAGAGACAGAGCCAGCCCCAGCGTGGTCTACGCTTATAAGCGAGAAGCGACAAATGTAAAAGATTGCTGTGGGTTGCATAACTATAAGACTGTTGGTCTTCAAATATTATGAAAGTGCATTCGAACAGTAACTGCCACATAAGTAATCATCATAAAGTTGATACCAAAAACATACGATTTTCCTTGCCAACAGGAAAATTTGCCTCCAACAATCTCATATTTTTGTAACGCACTGTACATGGATGTGCACCGTTTATGCTTTGCGGGCTGCACAAGACAACGGCACTACATTGAGACACAGACAGACAGAATTGTCTTGAGCGGTTCTGTAAGAGCTTTTACTTGTTTTTGCGAGTATGTGAGTGGGTACCGACAACCGACATCATAACGCAGCTTTTGCTTGTAACACTTTTCTCGACTATGGATTTCCAGAGATATAAACAACTGTTGGAATTTGTGAATATTTATTTTTAATGCATACGGGCGTACCTGTATGTAACCCATCAAGATGGATTTTGGCATGAGGAAATAGGAGAGTTAGTTTAAAATATATTCTACGATATGTAGCTGAATAAATACTATAAAATTGTTCAACTTTTCCGTACTAGTCATGGTCACTAACGTTACCAGCTATACCCAACGAGAAAACAGATTTCCATCTAGTCAACCTCATAATTTAAGAAAACCCGGCTAGCGTAACGCTTCGCCATGATTTTTCCTCTGCCAATTAGATATTGAAATTATTACAGAGCACTTGGCATTCATATTCATGCATTTGACTCTGGAGCTGCATTCATTCGCATTCGAACTCGAATTGTCGTCGAGAATTGTCATAACTCTCGATGTTGCCGCATAACTCACCCCGCTGTTGGACGGGGGCAGCGTGGGGATTGCGGAGTGGGCCAGTGACGTGGACGGTGTCAAGGTGTCCACATGACTTTGTCTCTGTGCCTTGCCAATTTATTGGACACTCATATGGCAACAACAAATGATAGGAGTAAAGCAAACCGACTAAAAGATACCCGCTACACGGACTTTCTAGTCTTCTTTGGTCATTTCCTTCTCTCTTTTCGAGTACATAATCCACCCCAACACTCTGTGGTAGAGGGTATGACAACAAGCTGCATCGATCGCTGCTCGATAAACGGTTACAACTGTGCCTCTACCTGCGCCTTCGTCTGTGAATACGAATGGCTGCAGCTGAGCCGAAGCTTTGCATCGTACCCGGGCTAGGCAACGGCGGCGAAAAGAGCGACAAGTTATGAATATAAAATATGCATAAATATGCAATGCAAACACAAATGCAGGCAGCGGGCACGAATAAAGCATGTCAAAGTAATAACAGAATATAATAAACTAAATTATTAAACAAATGCAAAATGCAAATGTTGTTATTGTTGCTTTTGCTGCTGCTGCTGCTGCCCCTTCCCTTTTCTTATCAATGATCAAAGACTAGAAGTAAACGCTGTTAAAGCTCCCGACACACTCAAGCACACACACACACACTGCAGCCCACACGAACATTTTGTTGTTGTGACTGCTGCTGCTGTCAAACGATATCTCAGCTCGAGTTCGATCGAATGAGCGAATGCTCAGCCTCAGACAGAAGGTAAATTGTCCAGTGGGTTAGGTACTTAGTCTAGCATGCACTTAAGACTTCTTTGACTGTATGTAACTCAATGGGAACTTCCTTACCTTTTATGCAATATACATTGCATTGATTTCGCAGCTTACGCTTAGTTTGTTTCTCCAACAAAGCGTCGATGTTGGCGCAGGCACTCTCACACAATTACATATGAGTGTGTTTTGGTTTTAATATGTATGTATGTACGAATGTATGCTTTCTTGTTGGAAGTTGATGTTATGAAGGTGGAACCATATGCATATGACAATGGCTGTTTGAAAAATTGGTGTTCATTGGTGTAAGCTTTTAATTCATAGAATTTCATTATGTGCAAATATTTTTATTCATTTGGTATCCAAGCCTTAATAAATGTTTACAATTAGTTAATAAATGGTTATAATGTAAAGAATATAATCACTGCTAATGCATGCAGTAAACTGCTTGCATGTCATTAATCATCTTTCGGCAAGGCAGTGCACTGCTTTTGCAAACATGCTTTTCATACATATTCATTCATACGCGCTCTCTTCTCCTCATCTCGCATTAAATTAGTCGAGGCAGACTCTGCTGGAGACTGTTGTTCCTGGACCCGAACGTAAATCATATTTGAAATGTCGCATCCTTAATTCGCAGGCGGAATTCCATTGACGAATTGCTTCGACTGCCTCTGATTCCGGCGACCTGCCTCATTTTTTTGTTGTGCATTTGGAAATTGCTTTTGTGGCGCCTACTTAACGTCCGTCCAACAATGTGGAAAAGTAACTTTCGGCCCTCTCCTTTTTTTAGTCGTTCGTGCACATTCCGCTGGATTCCGCAGCCAAATTGATGGCGCCAAAATTTAAGAAGCTCTGCGGTCGGTTCGGTCGTGTTCTGCTCGGAACGGAGACGAGACGAGACGAGACACGGGCCCCAGTGGCAGTCCGCCTGGGAACGGCCAACTGCAAAACAGCAAACGTCATTCGCATAGCCATACCCACACGGACAGCCATAATATGCGTTTCATGCCAATATAAATCTATAGAATATCAAACAAAAATGAAACTCCAATCGATCGAACTTTGATTAGTTCGACAACAAAGTCTTACAGCTGTGAAACGCACTGTGCTCAAGTATGAAGGAGTGGAGCATTTGTCCCATAAATGTCATTCGGTCGAGAGTTTTTCACGTCGACGCTTAGATGTCAGCTCCCTCGAGGCCTTGAGCCTCCGGGGCCTTAAATTATTCTACGCACAGTCGCGGCCATAATATGAATTTTGAATACAATTTTTGCAGAAAAAATGGCATTGCAGCAAAGAGGTAGAATGGAAAACTCTGCATAGTCGGTCAGTGGGTACGGCCTTCGATCTCCGTTATTTGCGTGCCGATCGAGGAGATTCATTAATAAAAATTATGTCAAAATAATCACGCCACCAGCCGGCGGGAACCGCTCAAATGATAAATGAGTCGTCTCCAGGGTGCACTCGAAACCCTTGCTCGGGGATACGCATTTGCGAATGGATCTCTGTGACTCTGTGACTGGGACGGTAGCAACTTAATTACATGTGCAAAGTCTTTCGCTGGAGCGGTGCGAAGTCTCTCCCTCATTTGAATGTCATCATTAGTGGCGCCGCTCCTGGGACCGCTGAGTGGTCAGAGGGGGTTGCGGCATGTCTGACGCGACACTGATCCGATTTCGATTGTAACTCCGATTGTACCGACTGCCACGATCATTAATTACTTTATTACGGAAATCAAAATGTCAGCCTGCCCTTTCAGCACTCTCTCTCTCTCTCTCTCTCTCTCTCATTTCCCTGGCACTCTCGAAATGTTTTCAGTTTCTGTTTCCGCTCTGCATCCGTGTTTACATAATGTGGAAAATTAATGATGAATTTGTTGGCTAACTGACGGCGTTTCGTCGACGCAATCGCAGACGGAATCGGACTCGCTGACGCGCCGAAAAGTTCAAAAATGATAAATGGTTTCGATTACACGCTGGGACAGGCAATTTTTTAATTCTCTTAAATTGTTGGCAAGGCACGTTAAAAGGGGGGAAATGTAAAGAACAAGGAGATAAGGAGTTGCTGTAGGAATCATCCCTGCGTGGTGAGAGGATGGAAAATTACACACATTTAGGAAAAACTAGGAAATAATTATGGTAGGTTAGAAGCATTCTTCTTTCTCCATAAGCTTTGACCACTTTTCCCCTTGCAATTATCGAGAAATCAATTTGAAATGAAAACCCGCAGAACCTGAATATGCGAATCTGTCGATAAACAGGTTCACTGTCGCATAAAGAT